ATAGTGGATCAGAGCAAGAGGGTCTCCTCATAGCACAGCAGACATCTAGGCGTTATTTCTTGCCGTTTTTATCTTAATTATCTGACATTAGATATCTGCTGATAATGTACATCAATAAGTTACTGTATTCAAGGGAGAGAGGTCATTTATATTAAATATCACTTTACAACATTCAGTTTTAAAATATAAAACAGTAAGTGGTTTGTGTTACAGAGCCTAAAATGGGCTAATGGCATGAATCCCACTAGTTTTCTGGGTCTGTAGCCTCACAAGTCTTCCTATTCCCCCCTCTAAAATCCTTTCATGGATTATTTCCCTCTGTCAAAGTAATTTTCCCCCATGTGACTGTCTTTATACAACCATTTACTTGCTTTGAAAAGATTTTTAATTTTTTACCCAACTTTATGTTTTCAGGGAACAAAATTGCCAGCTCTTTCCTCCTCCCTGGATCCTATTGACAATAGAATGTATTTAGAATGACAATAGAATGTATTTAGAATAGAATGACAATTAGAATGTATTTCTGGGCTATTAAAGTATCTCAGATTTTGAATTTTCATTTACTATGACATTAGGGGAAAAGGTCTCAGAGGTACATGAGATTTAATATAGCATTTTCTTTGAAGTAGTTCGTGGAGCTTTAAAAAGTCTTTCTACTAATGTCCATTTTTACTCCCAAAGTATATAACATTTGATATTAACATTTGAAAAGAGAACTAGATAATTCTCATGCTATGCCGATCTGAATAGGGGCTTGTGCCTTCTGTCATGAAATATTTTGGAACTAAGAACAAACAGAAAGGTAGAAGAAGTCTTGCCAACAGAAGTTAATACCCAGAAAATGGCTTTAAGAAATGATCACATTGGCCCTTTGCCTTTTGAGACCTCCTCACTTGATGCCTCTTTTTATTGATTTTGATACTTCCTTTTGTATCTTAAAATTTGAATTATACACAACTTGTAGAAAAGAGCATTTCTTTTAGTTTGGATTAATTCTGTCTTTATAGTCTAAGCTTTTAATAGCTCTATTCTGAAGGCTGGCAAAACAGATTGGTTCTAAGAATGATTTGTTGACTGTCTTATAAAACAGATGTCTGTGGGGGAAGAGTATGTGTTTGTGTTTTTAACAGGGGAATGTCTGAGAATTTCAAAAATTCCAGTAAGTGTTTTCCATACACAAGGAGGAATTACAGAGCAACTCCTGTTTTTGGTTCTCGAGCTCCTGTAAATGTCAAATCTCTTCTTCATGTTTTTAAGAAGACATGATCATTTTGAGATTACTTTCTTTTTTTTAGCTTCTAATAATCTACATTTAAACTTTCACATTTCCTATAGTTACTTTATTTGAATCCATGACTATAGGAGAATGTGAATCCATATAATTAAACTTACACAGTATAGACATAATATACAACTAACCTGACACTACTACTTAAATCATTTTGCTAAAGACACTAAGTACTTTTTTCTGTTACCCTGGCTCACTAGTATTCAAGATTAAGGAATACTTGGTCCTTAATTTTCAGTAGATGGAAAAACAAAAGGATAAAATCCACCTGTGTGAGTTACAGGGAAATGTAGAAGCTTAACTTTTTTCTTTAAATTACAGTTGCTGATTGATACTCATTAATTTTCTCCTACAGTTTTGTCTAGAAGATATTTGAAAGTAAGCTTTTTAAACATGCCTTGTGGTTAATATCTAATCCAAATTGTCATCATTATTCCAGTTCTGGATATTGGAGAAAAATGTTCATGGAGTTTAAAGATTGGATTATTTGAATGATAGCATGTTAAGACAAACTTAAAAATATTTAGCACTTTTGAATCCCCTGATGTCTAAGAATTTTAAGTGGGGTTAGACTCTACTGAAGTGACCACTAGTTTTTGAATAAGTAGTATTATAACATCACTTTTTGTTTTGTAGCATTAGATTCTGATAGCCAAAATTTAATTTTATTTGCAGTTAAAACTTCGTAACATCTCTTCACTCAAACATACTATGAAAGCAAACCATCAGCCACACTTCCATCTTCCATCTCTTCTAGGTACATTTTGATAAAGCAAAACTCACCTTTCATGGAAAATGGACAAGTGGTGGGGGTAGAGAGGTAGAGATGAATGTGTTTCTGTTCTCTCTCCTTCGTTCCATGCCATCCAGTTGTCACACTCCAGATTACTCTCACCCTCCTGTCTGTCGCCATGGTGGTGGTGTCCATCCTGTCCTAAGAACTTGTTGCATGATCACTCTCTTCCTGTAGTATCAGTTACTACTCTTCTTTTTTCCCTCCACTGTTGTTTTAAATTGTTATGGTACTTTAATTCTACACTTATTTGAGATTTCTGTATTTTACCCAGATCTGTTCTTAAGACTAGAATTATATCACTAGTGATATTAATAAAAAGTTAATACAAATGAAGTTAAGGAAACCAGTATAATTATCCCATGTAAATAACCCTGCTTAAAAAATTGTTCAGTAGATTAATTTCCATCTGCTTATAACAATGTAGTTACTGTATAGAGCTATTTAATAAAATTATTTCACCTACCCTGTGACAGAGGGTTAGAAATCAGAATTTAACCTGTTTCATCAATAATAAGCCACAGTGATTTTGAACAAAAATTTTAATGTCTTAATGAAATTATTTTAGGTTGATTAAAGCTCAAATATCTCTAATTTGTATGTACTCTTTCAAAAAACATTAATATATTTAATCAGCATATGGGTACTGTTCCTATAGAAGTTTACCTTTGTTTAATCTTTGGATATTTTTTGTAGAAATTTCATCACCTGTTTCTTCCCAGTGGGGCTAAGAAATGGAATGGAAATTGAAACTTTTTAAACCAAACATTTCCCTATCCCACAAATATCCAAATTATAGAAAATTAGTAAGAAAACTGATGAACAAAATTACTAAAAAGTTGGTATTTAAAGTTGGTTGCTAGGTAAACCACCAGGGACTAGGTAAGAACTAGAACATTTATTCTCCAAGTATTTTTGTTTGCTAATGTTAGAAGTAAAAACCCAATTTGCAGCCACACTATATATATATGGCAGCTTAATTATACAGGGCAGAAAGTTGGCATGAAGAAAAACATCGAATTCACTGTATAATACCAAAAGGTAAGAGTTGAAGAATTTCCCCATTTAAAAATAGGGTAAATGAAGAATTACACGGCTCTCAAACAAAACAGTAAAATACCAATGTCCAGTTAAAAGAAAGCTAAAATTGAATTTAATGTTGGTGAATGTTGTAATAGTATTAAGTTTGACTACACATAAGAGACATCTAAAGTAATGCTTTCAACAGGGTGGAAGTTTATTTCTCTCAAGGTAGTTTATTTTTTTCTCAAGTCAAAACAGGTAAAGCAGATATTCTAGAGCTGATAGTGGCTCCAGTGACATCAGGCTTCCAGAGAAGGTTAGCTTTGTGCTCTCTGTGGTTGAAACTCCAGCCATCACCTTGTACTGAAAGGCTCTCGGAAGAGTGGTATGGAGCTGGAGAGGAAAGATTTTCTTTTTCACAGTCACCATCCTTAAGCAGCCTTCCTACATGGCTCACCAACATTCTGCCTACATCTTGTTAAGCAAAACTCAGTCACATGACCACAGGAAATTGAGGAAAGTTAGATATATGTTAATTTATTTGATTGTGGTGAACATTTCAAAGTGAACATGCATATCAAAAGGTCAGGTTGCATATCTTAAATGCACATGAAATTTTCGGTTTTTTGTTTCAAGCCGAAAGAAGAAAAACTGTCTTAGAGGCCTGGAAAACCAGACTGTATATGAGGAAGTAGATAAGTATATAAATTAATAGTTGAAAAGCAATATGAATTTTATGCCTAACCCCAAAAGAATTTCATTTGTGGCTATGGAGTAGTGTACATTAAAAACAACTTTTTACATCAAGTGAAAATGTCACCATTTAGTTATTGGACAAGTTCAAATATAATTTTTTCAGTTTTTGCTGCTTTGTTTGGCACATATTGTTATAGTATGTCTTGCAGTTTGATATATGCTGTGATGCATGGAAAACACTGACATTGAAGTGGAGAAGCCAAGACCTTAGAGAAGAGCCAGTGGCTTTCTGATTAGATTTTGTAGTCAAGTATAACTGGTAATTAGTTTACCTTATTTTGAGCATCGAGACATTTCTTTATGTATTTTACATCATTCTTCCTTTTTGTACAGTGTATACTTTCTCTTCTCAGGTGCAGTCCCAGTAAAATTCCCACCACCAATTCACCCATGCACCATCACTAGAGTCCCTCATGCTCTTCCCTCGCCTGCTTTGATCCCTCTCCTTCCCCCCACCTTGCAGAATGTCTGTGATTTATAGTTGCTTGTTAATTTTGTTTGTTAAAATTTTTTTTTATTGATCCCTTATTTGTTTCCCCTACAATTCTCCTATAAGTGAAACCATCCGATATTTTTCTCTCTGGCTTATTTTGCTGAGCATGATCCCTTCCAGCTCTATCCATGCTGCTGCAAATGGCATGAGTTTTATCTTTTTTAATTGCTGGGTAATATTCCATTGTGTATGTGTACCACATCTTCTTGATCCAGCCATCTATTTTTGGGCTTTTGGGTTGTTTCCGTATTTCACCTGTTCCATATCTTACCTATTACTGTGCTGCAATAAACATAGGGGTGCCGGTATCCTTTTGAATTAATGTAGTAAAACATGTCTTTACCTTAGTTCGAAGCAAACGTGAATTAGAAAAATGTTGTTAGAATCTGTAATACTTAGTGTTGGTTTGTGTATATTATGAAAATTAGAATTAAGAATGATGGCAAGAAGTCCAGGCCTGGCATATATCTACATAAAGTTTTGACAAGTGTTTTTTTTGTTTTTAAACTTATTGGAAAGTATTTAACATAAGGTCCTCCTAAAAGTGGTTCTCAGGTGTTACGAACTGTGTTTTTATTAGTTGGCAATGATTTTTCATATTCCTTTACAAAGCCTGTGACTTTGTCAATTTTCTGTCTTCTTTGTAGGACAGAGGTGAGGTCAGGGCAGCCCCTTCAGGATGACCTTCCTTTCTTTGAGAAGCCCCCAAGCAGGCAGCTTTCCCTACCAAACCTGTCTCCGGAAGAGCCTCAACTGAAGACTTCAAATCTGGCAAATGAGGAAGCGCTGCAGAAGATCTGTGCTCTTGAAAATGAACTTGCTGCTCTCCGAGCCCAGATTGCCAAAATAGTGACCCTGCAAGAGCAGCAAAATCTCACTGCAGGTCAGTAGGTCCTACATTTAACCCCAAAACTTGAAATTAGAATGCTGCTAATTTTAAAATTTATTAGCAAATAGCCAGTAGGGTTTTAAGAAAACCGTCAGTCCTCGGCATAGTCCAGTACTGGACCCAGTTAGCCATTAGTGGTATTTGGTTCTGTGGTAGTCTTTATGCTCTCAGAGAGAATGAAGAGTAAGTATATTTGGGAAAACTCTAAAATTGATAGTTGAATTGTTACTCTTGTGAAAGCTTGCCTTTTTTATGGGAAACTTAGTTGTCTATGATAATGGCATCAGTTGTATGAGACATGAGATAATCTCAAAATGGCCCTGACAGGGCTGAGTGTGCTGTTTACCAATATATGTCGGAGGCAAGCACTTTACTGTAGCTCTTTGTTGGTGTAACAGGTTAAAATAGTGATTTCTGCCTCATTTTTTGCTTTACCAATGGGTTAATATTACCTTGGTATGGAGTTATTATGGGAGTAACTGTGGAAATTATATAAAATGCCTTAAGTTCATAGTAGCTCTTCTTCAAGCCAGTGTAGAAACCAAATTCAGGTCCTCTGACTCCTGGTTTAATACTGCTTTTATTAATGTGCATTGTGACTCTGGAGAAGAAACCTTAGCCTTGAAATCCTAAACCATTAACCTGTTGGCAAGTTGTGGTTGTTTTTTTAGTGCTGTTCCTGAGTCCTGGCTGGACTCCCATTAGCCACCTCTGTCTAGAGGATAAGGACGGTTACTCTACTTCTGAGCTACTTTGCTTGTACTCCTAGATTTTAATGGAACCAACATGGAAAGGTGGACAGAGGGCATTTGCACTGGGGCACCAAGTGCTTGAGAAGTAATCGGTGTTTAAATGAAGTTTGTGTATAACTTTAAAAACCAAAGGTCCTGCCCTTTTCTTGTATAAATCACATTTCTCTTTTGCTTTATCTCCCTCTTGTGGCAGAATAGGAAAACTGCCATAAATAACGAGAGATTTGGGGCATTTATGTTAGATTTTCAGTTTATATAGCCTAAATCCCTTGAGTAAAACTTCCCCCCTTAATCAGATTTACCCAACCAGTAAACAACTCTAACCCCTAGTTATGCAGAAAGATGAATCATTTGATCTTTGTTTTATAACCACTTTAACTTTTAGTTTCTTCTTTTAGAAGTTTAACACTTTCCAGTCAGTGCAGGCTTTTAACACTTATTAAGTGTTAAATGTATACATACTCAGAGTGAAGCACACATTTACCAAGTAGTTTTTTGAAATAGTTATCATACTAAATCAACTCTCTATGTTGGAGATATTTATGCAGTACAGATTGCTTTATATTAAAGGTAGTTACAAATTGTGTCACAGTCAAGACTTGAATATTTGATATGAAAGAAACACCCTGTTAAGTTAATGAGAACTTTTCCATTTGGAAAGTTGGGGATTAAATGATACAGTGACTGAGAAATTCAGGCATTTAGATTCTAACCAAGTACTTAATACTTTCATTCTGCTTACATAACTGATACTCTTTTTAAAGATACTGTCAGACATATGAAAGGTCTTAACATCATTTTGCTTTTAAAAATTTCATTTGCCTATCACCATGAGAATTAAATTGATTTTCTACTTGTTTTATAGGTGATCTAGATTCTGCCACTTCTGTTACTACAGCAACATCTTCTATCCCACCACCACCACCTCCTCCTCCTCCTCTCCCTCCTCCATCAGGACTCCCCCAAAGTATATCTGCTATTGACTTGATTAAAGAGCGAAGAGAGAAAAAAGCCAATGTTGGAAAGACTTTGATTAAAAACAGTCCAAAGAAACATGATATGCCAAATATGCTGGAGATCCTTAAAGATATGAACAGTGTAAAACTTCGCTCAGTAAAAAGGTGAGGATACATTTACCTTCATGCTCATGTCCCTCTTTTTTTTTTTTTTTTAAGAGATTTATTTATTTATGCATATAAGAACAGGGTTACACACCAGAGGTGCTGGGTGGGGATGTGTGTGTGAGAGGACTCACCAGAGCCAGAGTGGAGAAGAGAACAGGCAGATAAACTGAAATACACTGCTGGAGGGGAGCAGCGGGTGAGACAGGAGAGGTCTGCTGCACCATGTGGGTAGCTCCCTGGCTAGCTGGGGGATCGAACTCATGCTGCAGAGGCTGCAGATAGCTTCATAGTGCTGTGCTTAACCCCTTGCGCCACCAGGGAGGCCCAGTCCCTTTTGTTTTTATAGCTTGTAAAATGCTAGGCCTCTGGAGAACTTTAAACAACATAACACTGTGAGTAGTTCTAAAATTCTAGTTTTAAAAAGATGAACTCCAGTGACTTTTATACAATTAAACTAGAAATTAGCAAAATGAACATTTGCAGATTAGTTTTTCCCCTATTTCATGTAAAATCTTTATTGTCCAGCCATTCAGTCAACATAAGTTGTATAATGTATCTAGTATGTTAGTTACCAAGCTTTCAGAGAAAACCCTTGGAGAGCATAATCAGTGCTCATGAAATGGAGCGGCGATAGTCATTGGGCACTTTTGTGCTGTTTTATCCAGCCTGATTCTGAGATTTCCATTTCAGTGCTAGCAATACCTATCAAGTCTTTATTAAGTATCTGTGATGCTAGAGAAATGCTGTTGGGCATGGAAAGTCATACAAAGTAGTGGGAATTCAGCATTTTGAAATGTCTTCTTGCTTTCTTTTCACGTCTCTAAGATCAGAACAAGATGTAAAGCCCAAAGCAGTGGATGCTACCGACCCCGCTGCCCTCATAGCAGAGGCTCTGAAAAAGAAATTTGCTTATCGATATCGAAGTGATAGCCAAGGTGAACTTGAAAAAGGAATTCCAAAGCCGGAGTCAGAGTCTGCCCCAGAAACAGTGTTGGTGAGTATTAGGTCAGACTTCTTATCTACTATAAAATGACCATCCCATTGCTAAGTACTTGGGTTTTGCAAGACTTTCATATGTCCTCTGTAAGATTCAAAGGGTATGCTACAGGGTCTCTATGTACAAGTAGATTATTTTTCGGACCACAAAGTAGCTTTCATTTAGAAACTTGAAATTTACAGCTGGAAGTATATAAAAGCAGAAATTAACCGTGGGTTCACTATACTGAGCATTTCCAATATTAAATATTCCGTGTTGTATTTTCTTTCTATTAAAGCATAATGAGGTGAAATTCATTATAAAACTTATATATTAGGACAGTATGTATGTTGTGACACAGAAACTCGAGGTAAAGAAAGCTCACTTACTCTGTGAAAGTCTTCTGAAGAGGGCAAGATTTGATCTGTGCCTTGCAGAATATGTGCCAGGTCACAGGTATAGATTTCTTTTTAAAGATTTATTTATTTATTTATTTTTTAAGATTTACTTATACAAGAACCAGGGTACAGGCCAGATGCGCAGGAGGGTGAGAGGATTCACCAGAGACAGAGTGGGGAACAGAACAGGCAGACTGATGAAATACACTGCTGAGGGGAGCAGCGGGCGACATAGGAGAGGTCTCCTGCGCTACGTGGGATTCTCGCTGCCCAGCCAGGATCAATCCCACGTTGCAGAGGCTGCAGACAGCTTCACAGTGTGGACCACCAGGGAGGCCCAGATTTATTTATTTTTATACAAGAGCGGGGGTACAGACCAGAGGTGCGGGAGGGTGAGAGGATTCAACCAGAGACACAGCGGGGAGCAGAACAGGCAGACAACTAAAATACACTGCTGAGGGGAGCAGCAGGCGAGACAGGAGAGGTCTACCACACCATGTGGGACTCTCCCTGGCTGGCTGGGCATCGAACCCACACTACAGAGGCTGCAGACAGCTTCCCAGCGCTGCACTCAACGCGCTGTGCCACCGGGGAGGCCCCACAGGTGGAGATTTCAAGGAAGCTCTTAAATATTGATTTATATGGTCCCTTTATTCAAGTTGATGTTGGTGGGGTATCTGTTCCAGAGAGGCAGATGTCTTAAAAACTCTAGCACCTTTGAAACCCTTTCTGTGGTGAAAATTTTTAGAGACTTGTGCTTCTGTCTTTATTTGGAGAAGCTGAACTAAACTGGGGTCTTGCTAAGATGATTGTGTTATAGTTTTCTTTTTTATGAACTAATCTGGTTACCTCTGCTATTCATATTCTATTGATATGTCAGTATTTATAAAGGTCTTAATACTATGTAGCTGCTCGGGGATGGCAGTCATTTGTTACGACTTTCCTTGGGGTTTTCAAGCCTGTACTGCATACCCTATCTCATTCAGTTGCTAGTTCTTCCACCTCATATAATACCTGGACGCACTAGCCCTATGATCCATAATTGGGAGGGGCACAGATCATTGTTATTATGTGAATTGTTATCTTTCTTTATACTTTGTTTCTTTCCTAGTTTGGGCCACACATGTTGAAGTCTACAGGAAAAATGAAGGCTTTAATTGAAAATGGTTCGGATTCCTAATGGACAATAATGAGCTGAGAAAGACTTCCCCCGTTCAGCTGTTGGTTTGTCAGGGGTCAGTTTGGCTAGTAGAAGTGAACACTATTTAATAAATACCTGCCTTTAATATTCAGTGTATCCTTTTAAATCTAATTAGAGGATGGAGCAATAACAGCACTCTTAAGTTGTTTTTGCTTTTATGAGGTCAGTTCTAAAGTTTCTATAACGTGTATTCTGACATGTTTTTAATGTCTAGCCAGGATGCTTAGGTTTCTAGTCTTATAAACAATTATATAGGTTTCAGAACAAAGAAAGGACATTCTTAAACACTAATTTATATGTACAGATATTTTATGTGCATATATTTGGATTTAAAGCAGTATGAAAACTTTAGTGATGACGGGAATAGGGTGCTATTGTCATTGGTTTTCCGGGATCATTCACTAGTCAGTGATGGAACAGCTGGTATAATTCAAGTTGCTGGAGTGAAATACTCAGATTGAAATATTCTTGCTTTGAACAGAACTTCTTAGAGTCTCTCACATTTTCTTGGAGATGGAATTTGAGTCGGAACTGGTTAATGTTATTGCTGAAATCCTGTAGTGCATTCCTTTAAAGGGAACTCAAGAACCATGAAAGCTGTTTTCACCTTAGTGCCATGCCATACTGAGCAAGAAAATGTAGTTTTCAAATAGTGAGGCATAAAATTACTGAATTAAATCTTTTTAAAAAAACTGGAACGTACCATCATATTTTTCTTTCATTTTAATATATGGCCTCATAAACATGACTCATTACTAAGTTGAAGATACTTCTGAAAATGTCAGCATAATGGAGTCTTTAAATTTTTAATATTGGTCAGAGTATCACTTTTATAATGAAATGTTGAAGAGCAAAAGAATTTCCTATAAAATATCATTGGTTAGAATGCTGTTCTGAATTATATTATGCAACATAGTGTTAGAAAGTGGAGAAGTACTTTTCTTACCTAGAACTTCTAAAGAATTGCTACAAGTGATCATTTTAGAATAATTATAAATCTTCATGATTTTCTGTATTTCTCTTAAACTCAGCCATGGTTAAAGCCAGAATCTCCTACCATGATAAGTATTTATTATTTAAATCTAGCTTTTAAAAAAGTATTTTCTATGGGGATTTTGGAGGTGGGAAGAATAGACATTCACTTAAGTTATTGAAAGTATGTGCAATGTTCTAAATATTAGCAGACATTAGTTAAGGTAATTTGGTTTGGTTATTCAGCTTAAATTTGAACTGTGGCTTATTTCTCCCATGTTGGTACACATTTCTAATTGTTTTATATGGTTTAAAATTTCTGCCGTTAAAAAGACATTCTGATAATTTACCTGACATACATATTTTGACATTCCAAGAAATTTATATTTGTGTGTCAGTATTGAATTTTGGCCAGGGCCCAATATAAGAAAGCTACTGTTTTGAAATAAAGCAAACTTATTTTCCTTGGATTGCAATGCCAGTATTTTTTTCTACCCCCACCCCCTTTAAAAATAGTAGTTAAGATTCTTTTACATGTACTTTTTCAGAATTCTCAAGCTATCCTCCACCTCTAGGATAGGTGAAATTTGTTTTTCTATCTTTCCCCACCACCTATCTCATCCAATTTCTGGTTTTGCCACCTAACACAGTATCTGAAGTGAAATTCTTAAAGTAGTTCAACACTACATTTGCTAGCTGCGACTCAAAACATTAAGTAACAATACAGTGTTTTGTCTTCTACGATTTGGACTAGTCCAGGGGTACACTATATATACATGGTGAATATTTAGATCAGAGAGCACTGATCTTGAAATTGCTCATGGCTGGTATAAATGAGCCTAGCCAAATTGCACCTTTTCTGTTTCTAAAATGGGACTGACTCAGCTCAAAAAAACTTGAGGATTAATGATTTTGAACTTCTGTCAAGGTAGACACACCAGTTATCCCCACTTACATAGTTTCACATGGGGTTACTGTAGTTTCCAGTAAAATGATTTCTCCTAGGATATGTGGTCCTTGGCATGTAGAAAAGGTGTCTTCATATGCACCTACTTGCAGTCTTGCGGTACGACTTACAATCTTCAGTTTTGGTTGTCTCCCCAGGCACAGGCCCATCTTTAGAAAAATGCTGTCCTCATGCTATGTTAAGAATTCCTATGAAGGCTATGTCCTAGTAATGAAAAGGAAGACATGAGGTAACACTAACAGAAGCAAATACTTTGGAAAAACCACCTTTCTGATATCTCTAAAAATAAAGTTCTCTATGGGTTAGAATCTGGCAGATGGAAGTTTAAATTTGGGGACATTAACCTAATAAAGTGAGTTCTGGGATTGCCAGGCAGAATGAGATGCTTGGTTGTACAACAGAATATTGGTTATGTCTTACTGTCACTGTATTCTTTTTTTTTTTTTAAAGATTTATTTATACAAGAACCAGGGTATAGGCCAGATGCGCGGGAGGGTGACAAGATTTACCAGAGACAGAATGGGGAACAGAACAGGCAGACTGACGAAATACACTGATGAGGGGAGCAGTGGGTGATACAGGAGAGGTCTGCTGTGTCATGTGGGATTCTCACTGGCCGCCAAGGATTGAACCTGTACTGCAGAGGCTGCGGACAGCTTCACCGTGCGGCGCTCAACCGCCTGCGTCACCAGGGAGGCCTCTATTACTGTATTTCTCATGAAACTTCAGTCAATCCTGAGACCACATTCTTGCGTTCTTTCTCCTTTTCATACTAGCAGCTCAGCATTCTTCTAAGCTATTCTGTTAAACCTATTTCTTAAAATTCTTAGTTTTTTTGATAGGCTTTGTAAATAGGTTAGCTCTTCATTGGTACTAGTGTGATCACTTGAGATAGACAGGACAGGAGCATAATGAAGTAAGTACCTAGAGAGTACCTTTGAGATTGCTGCCCTTAGTCTGCTCCATGTGGGCTAGAAGCCTTAATGGTCTCTTAACTAGAGCTTCTAAAATTTTTCTCCTTTGGTAGATTGTCCAGCTTTTTTCCAAAGGTCACTGAGACCTTTCACTAGGTTAGAGTAGAATATGAGTGTAATCTAAACTTTGACAGGAAGATAGCCCAATTTAGTGTCTCCATTCCATACTAAATGACGCTGACTATTACAGGACAGTCCTTTCTAATTGCGTTCTTCCAGCTAGAAAAGCCTTGATTTCAGGAACTGAGAAATTAAGAAAAACAGTCCCATTTACAAGCACATCAAAAAGAATAAAATGCATAGGAATAAAAGTATAACCAAGGAGATAAAAAAAAACCAACAACCCCATACACTGAAAGAAATTGAACACTATTAAATGGACAGGTATTTTGTGCTCCTAGGTTAGAATAATATAACCAAAATGGTCATTAAAGCAATCTTCAGAATCAACGCAATCCCTATCAAAATCTCAATGACATTTTCCACACAAAAAAAAACAAATACTAAAACTTTCATGGAACTACAAAACACCCCAAATAACCAAAGCAATACTGTGGAAAAAACGAGTGTCATCCTCTGACTTTATATGACATAACTAGAGTCAAAACAGTATAGCACTGGAATAAAACCAGACATAAAGATCAATGGAACAGAGCTGACAGCTCAGAAATAAAACCACATGTTTATAGACAATTTATGACAGAAGACAAAAATATACAATGGGGAAATTCTCTTTAATAAGTGGTGTTGGGAAAACTGGACCACTCTTGTACACCACACAAAAGTTAATTAAAAATGGATTAAAGGGGCCTCCCTGATGGTGCAGGGGTTAAGATGCAACCTATGAAGCAATCTGCAGCCACTGCAGCACGCGTTTGATTCCTGGCCGGCCAGGGGGAAACCCACATGGCGGGACAGACCTCTCCTGTCTCGCCCACTGCTCCCCTCAGCAGTGTACTTCGGTCCGTCTGCCTGTTCTGTTTCCCCAATCTGTCTTTGGTGAATCCTCTCTCCGCCGCATCTCTGGCCTGTACCCTAATTCTTGTATAAAAATAAATCTTTAAAAAAATGGATTAAAGATTTAAATATAAGACATGAAACCATAAGAAAACACAGGCAGTAATAAGCTCCTTGACATCAACCTTACTAATGTCTTTGTAGATTCAATCCCAGCAACAGTGGGAACAAATGCAAAAATAAATGGGACTACATTAAATTAAAAAGCTGCACAGTGGAAAGAACAATCATCAAAAAGAAAAGGCAGCCTACTCAATGGGAGAAAGTATTTGCAAATCATACATCTGACAATAATATCTAAAATATAAAGCATGCACAGAAATCACCAACAAAAAGAACCTGATTTAAAAATGGCTAGAGTTTTGAAAAGAGATCTCTCCAAGACCTACATATGGCCAACAGGTGTACAAAAAGATATTCACTTATTAAAGAAATGCAAATCAAAAACGACAATGAGCTATGGCCCCACATCTAGGAGAACAGCTATTATCAAAAAAGGTAAATCAGATGGAGAAAGACATACACCATATAATTCCTATGGAAGATAATACAAAAGCAGCTGATGACAATAGAATGGTCGTTCCTGAAAGGAAAGGATTATGGAGGGTGGGTAAAACGGGTAAAGGGGGCGGGGGGGGGGGGGAGTAAATTATATAATAGCTGGATGGAAACTAAACTTTCATTGATCACGATGTAGTGTATACAGACATCAGTGTAATCCTGAAATACGTTACCCCTATAAAAGTTTATTTTTTAAAAAGTATCATGCAGCCTCTTGATTATTTCTAGAAACACTTCAAAACATATGCTCAAATAAATGTAATACACTATGAAATTCTTAAATTCTTAATACACTTAAATTCTTAAAGGTTATTGACAAGACTAGTAGGAAGTTACAATAGATCAGTAAAGTTGCTGTGCTTCATTTTTAAATAACATCCAAAAAAAATCTAACATTAAAAATGGGGGTGTATTTCTTTCCCCCACCATTTTAACAGATTTCAGATTAGGTTTCAAGATGACTTAGAAAATGCAGGTGTGAAAGAAAAAATTTTATGATCAAAAAAAATTATTTCACCAGATTATTTTAGAATCAAATTTGTAAGTGATCTTATCAGTTGTGGGTGTTAAAAACATTTACTATAAATGGTGTCATTTTTATCATTAACCAAACTATTCTAAATACCCCATTACTTTGCATTCATTTTGTACAATACAGAAATTTGCTGTGTAACACTTCACACATTTTGTTGTCCAAACATGTTGAGTCAATATTTTGTAACTTTAATATCCCTTTATTATATCCAGGTCAGGTGCTCTGCATAAAGCAGGCGCTCAGATATTGCTTGCCATGTGACTTCAGCATAGACAAAAGTCAATAAAATTTGTTAATGGCAGACTGATGGCTAAAAGGAAACATGAATACTAAATTCAATAAACATTTATTGATGGCCCAATTTACACTTGCCAGAGCACAGGAAACAAGATAAAAGAGACATGCTGTGTGTTCCTCCCCGCCCCCCCCCCACCCCCAACAGGCTCACCTCCAAGTAGAGGTCATTCCATCTACAGACCATGAACCTTTGAGGGCCTTCCAAAAGACACAGGTTGTCTGCAGATCCTTAGCAAGCTGGGACTGGCTCATACTGTCTTATATATAAATGTACAAGTAGGTTTCAAAGGTATGCTAATTCTGTGGTGATCAAAATACACATTTATTTTTAAACATTACTAAATTCATATCGGCTATCAGTCATAGTGTATTTTCCCAAGCAAAAGGTACTGACTGGGAGAGGATTTAATCAAAATATTTACACAATAAAAAAGGTATACATGAAAACATTGGAAACCTCTGAAGTGAAAGTTGTAATGTTTTAAGAATATTGAAAGCTTTAAGAGCCAAGGAAACATTTTGGAAAAAGACCATTATAAGAATCTTCAAGTTATTACTAGCACCTCTAGCCTGTACCTCAGGTACAAATATATTTCCCAGGTTTGCAAAAGACATAAAATGTAATTATAAACCATTACATTTACAGAGTATAAATACTGACCAGGAACCAGATTATTTCTGTTAAGCTAAGCCTTGCCTAAATTTTCTCCCCAAGGGCCATTATTATCAGAACAAAAGAGAGGCCCTCACACAGAAGTGTTAAGGCGTAGTGCCCCCAAGAATAGCTAAATGCTCAACAATTCTTTGAAATTCCCTGTTAAAATTCATGTTCCATAATATTACTTATTTCAAATGTGAACTTCTAAATTACTGATTTGTCCACTCCAATTTTTTAAAAATCATTAGTCAAAGGACTATCTGTATTAATTAAGAAACCGGGCTAGAGAAGGTGATTCCCACATAAAGAACTTTTCGATGGATTTATTATTTAAAGGAAGGAAATGGGAGCAACACTGAGGGGGTCCCCCTGAGAAAGTGGAACTTAGATAATCCTTTGAGTATCAAGCAATCAGAATTGTATTCTGGATCAGAGCAGAAGCAATCACAGGCAGATGGAGCCCATGCAGGCTAACCTGAGACCAGGCTGAAAGTACTGACTTTGCTGCCCGATGTGCCAATCAGAAGCTGATGTGGAGAAGCAACTACTGGCAGAGAATCTCTAGCATCGTCCAGGGGAAGAAGAAACCCTGGGTCCACAAACATGAGTATCAGCAGGTATATAGGGAGATGAATGCATGAGGCAACTTGCTTCCCTTGCTCAAAATCCATGCTCACCAAGTAACCGGCTGATCAAAATTTGGCTTCCCAAGAAGATTTGCCTAAAGGGAGAAAATGATTGATAGTTATATTTCTCATTGTAGATTACAATATTAACACTTTAAAAACATCAGTTACTGTGAACTTGCTATGAGATAATGCCATCCTCCATATGCTGACATACTCCGTCTGGGAGCTTGTAAAGACCCTTATCACTCTGGATGCATCAGATTGCCTCGGTGATAGCCTCATGTAAGTGGCCATTTGACCTTCCCCACATAATACTCGGCCTGCTACCATCAGACTTCGTCCCCACGCTAACACGGCAGCCACTAGCCTTGGTGGACATTGAGCACTTGACCCTGGCTAGTACGAATTGAGATGCGCTGAGAGTGGAAAACACACACTGGATTCCAAAGACTTTGTGCCAAAAAAGAAAAGACTATATAAAATATTTCAATGTTATCTTTTTATGATGACACATTGAAGTAACATTGGAATGTTATTACAATTCCGTCTTTTCTTTCTTAGTGTGGCTACTAGAAAATGGAAAAACACTTATATTTCAATTGGACATCACTCTCCTATGCAAATAGTGACATGATTTGAGTGTTCTAATGAATTGTACTTGAGAAGATACACGAGGCCTGGTGGTACCTGCCTTACATGAAGTAGAATTAAGTGGCCATTCATTACTTTAAAAAGGCCAATACATCTAGTATTTTATACTTGCAAAAGGTGATGTTTTAGGCATCAGTGTGGGAACAAAAAGCTATGGAGTCAAAGGCCTGAGCCCACAGCTGACCTCTCTTAGGATTCTGAGCAAACCACGTAACCCAAGCCTCAGCTTGCTCATCATGAGGTACAGAGAACGATGCCCCCAGGGGACTGCCTGCACACAGCTCTGCCTGAACAAATATCTGGTGAATGAATGCTAGAGCCAAGAAGCAAATTTTTGATTTCTTACTAACTTATCATTATGACTTCCAAAGGATTGAGTTATGAGGTCAATATCAAAGATAAAAATGTGAAAAGATAGTTTTTTTATTCATCAAAAGTTAACAGCAACAGGCACATATTAAAATGAGTATGGCAAAGCCTTTTACAAATGGCTTTACACTCAAGCTTTCTCCCAAGAAAATGGCTGTTGCAACAAACTGTAAACATAATTAATAAACAGTCTTTTACAGTAACAAGGGAAATACAATTGAACTAAAAGAAAGCACCGGTTTCTCTTAAAACTAGATTACAGTTGTGCTTACTACACATGAAACAATTTGAAACAAATTACAAAAGTGGAATGTTTTAAGTTTAAAATTAGTCCTTAGATTTTTGTCCTAGAAAACATCTGTTCACATCAAAAGGCCCATCAAAGGCTAACGTTTCATCAAAGGGAGGGACAAGAAAACAATGCACTTTTTTTCAAATCAAAACAAGAAGTTTGGTCATTTAGCTTTGTGCATAGTTTAAGGCAACTGGAGCAATCTCGTACAGCTTACCTACTTTCCCCTCCCCCAAGTGTGGCTGCTCATGTCACATTCTAAAATAATAAATAAAAGCTTACGTTTCAAATCCTTTCCCACATGGATAAATAGAACACATGCAGTCATACATGCACAGACATGCACGCAAACACACGTCCATACGTTCACACACAACATACCTCTCACTCACTGCAGCGAAGGGGACTTTAGTACCCTTGCTCTGAAGGACACACTTCCCCATCCCACTTTATTTCAGACTGGCAAATACCCTGAGCTGATTATGGTGTTTTAAACATTCCACCTTTTCTTGCATGTGCAGGTCAAGTGTACAGTAGTGAAAACAACATGCAATGTCTTCACTGCAGAATCATAATACAGCTAGGACACTGGTGTTCTTCCCCGCCCACCCCAAATTAAAAACCAAGAGTTAAAAAAAGTTGCACTGCCAAGCAGCACTGGAACGAAAGCTTGGCGGTACTTTATGACAAATGCTCAGCTTCCAGTGCACAAAAGAAAACTATAGCAAATGGGAGGCTTTGGTGGCATCCAAAGAAGAAAAAAGGCAAACCAGGGGAAAGAGCTGCAGTTTAAGGTTTGATCTTTAAGTTTCTTAGTGGTTCCTTCACAATCATGCTCCAAGGCAAAGTTAGAACCAATATTTCAGAGTTGATTTGTAAACATTGAGTCTTGCCAGAGGCAGCAGAGGCTGGGCACTTCACATTTCCATTGTCTCAGAGAGAACTTAGTGGAAGGTACAGATACACATTGTTGCATCAGACTGGTTTAATTCCAAGAGATTTCTGCTGAAAGATTCAGTTCAAGTTTCATGGTTTGAAGAGTAAATGCTTCGGAAAACATGTGGCACACTGCAAAACTTCCTTTGTTACTCCTTTCAGATCCTCTCATGCTGGGGTTTGCATATTCAAGGTTTCACACAAAAGCCAAATGCATATTGCTCTATGTTCAGGTCTTATAATTAAAAAGTGGGTTCAAATGATCCAACAGAGGAAATCTTGGAAATAAATAATGCTGGCATCATTCACTTGGAAACCTTGGCAGTCAAGAGTAAGTTGTCTCACCTCAAGACCCCACTTCACATTCCTAAAAACCTCCAGGAGGCAGCCTGTCCCATTGATTCAGGGGTTATGATAACCGATTTTCCTGAGGTAATAATTGTGAGTTCAACTCCTCAAATGCAGCATCAGTGTCCTCACTGCTGGACTGTTCTCTCTGCAGTCCCTTCCAACTGGCTTTATTCAGCCCCACATGTCCAAGCATTGTCTGGGACAACCTGGTATTGGAAAACCTGGCCCATTCTGTGAACAGAGGCTCCACTAGATAAGTCATAAAACCTTGAGGAAAAAAGAGAAAGAGAAAGGCTTTAATATATGTTCTGAAACTTTAAAACATCTACAGAGGGTATACTCTCAAATATGCTATTTGAATATTACCTAAGTTTTAGTTCTCAAAACATTCTAGTAGGTGTGTACTTGTGCTTATAAATTCACGTATCTGAAGAATCTATTAGATAACTCAATGGCACTTTAAGATGAACTGACAAATATAACAAATCTTTTCAGATGATTCCTCTCAGTTGCATAAGAACATCCTTTTACTTTAGTAAACATGCAGTGGCAACAGTAACTCTTAGAGGACAGCAGGACAGAGCAAAATTCTGTTCCGCACAGCTGAGGCTAAGAGGAGGTTTCCTCAGGAAGGCAGTGAAGTGGAGCTGGTGGTTTACTGTCTCAGCGCCTCCAGGACGGCACTCTTCATGCCAAGCCACGATTACAATTGACCATCTGATTTAACTCAGAATATGTAAACCAAAACTCATGACAAAAATTGAGTCTAAAAAGAACAATTAAAGTGAACGCCAAAAGAGTACCAGGGTCCTACTTCATAAACAGCTTATGTAATTGATTTTTAGTTTATGCAGAGAAGGAAAGTGGGTAATATCAGAGTTGTCTACACAGAACTTGTGCACAATCACTGATTTAATACACAGTATCTTACATGGGGTAAAAAAAAAAGATCACAATAAATTATCTTGTCAATCAAATCATATCATGTACTAGGAAAAACATATATTCCTGAAATTTTGGTCTGTTAAGGACAGGGAAAATGCATAATAAAAACTCTTAATGCTAGTATAACAGTTTTTAAATTTTCTTCATCTCTCCAAAACTTTTTTCTTTGCAGCAAAAGACCACATGAGCCACATAGGTTATAGGTTCCATTTAGTGGAAAAAAAAAAAACACCTCACTTAAAATAATTAGGCACCCACTACTTTTAATTAGAAAAAAAAATCATAGTCTGATGGTTGAAGTTTACTGAGAATATGAATTATGGCATTGGCAATAAGCCTTTCTTTCACTTTTTCCATTTGCTCCACATAAATTAACTGAGAAGCTACTGTATGCCAGGCACTGCATTTGGGTGGTTAGGGATACAGCAGTGAACAACACAGACAAGACCTGCCCTCAAGGAGCAACATGCTAGTGAGGAGAAAGAGCTGACAAACAGAAAAATGTTACCACTGCAGCTGAACAACAGAAAGGCTATTTGGCAGTTGTGCTCACACCACTGTGTCAGCTTGAACTAGGCACCTGAAGGCCTGTCTTTCCTATGAATCACAGGAGCAGCTGGAATTTTATACCCCAATGCAGATCCTTATTATCATAAGTTTCACATGATTCATCTTACTTGATTCTACCCCACTGTTGAGAGCTTTTGGAATCTTGACCCTACTATTACACGAATTAGCTGTCACTATGGCTCTATGTTACCCTAAAATCTTTTAGTTCTAAGTGTCAGATAACAAGTAGGCAATGGACACAGCCATACAGTATCCTCTGGGAGGGCAGGACCATAATCACCCTCTGCTAACAACTTATGAATCCACTGAAATACAGTAGAGCCCACAAATCTCGCTACCTCATCCAGATACTACACCATGCCTTGTCAAAAGCCTCACTATTATTTAATACCCAATATTTTCTTGTTCAGTGTCCCACAGAACTAGTATTCTTATCAAAGGAAATTGTATTAATTAAACATAGCTTCTACTACTGACCCTCTGCTGGCTCCATGCAATCACTGTTTAGTATTTATTTTAATAATCATATGATTTACCCTAGAAATAGAATCTTTCCAAGCTCCACTTTACCTGGGATTTGAAGTTAGAAGGGCAAACAAACACCTACTAACTAAAAGCTGGGCAGCTATCCGAAAGAGAGGATCCAAGTAGTCTCCTAGGGTTTTGTGAGGAGTCAGTAAATGTCAACTGTTATCATTTACCTCTTCCTGGTCCCTCTGATAATTCATTCTAGAACTGTCCAACACTGACAAGATCTACAGATTGAAATAAACAGTTTAAGAGACCTAGCTTCTTTTCCATTTTAAAAATTTCAAAAAAAGTTATAACTTTTAAAAAGCTCATTTGCAAGTTCTCATTAATCTATACTCAGGCAAAAAGACATTTAAAGTAGCTAGTGAGTCTACTACCCATTCACCTATCTTCAATTCAATTCCCTTTTGCCCACTTTTCACTTATTCTTTTGCATGTATTATTCTACTTGCGAATTGGAGCTAAGCAGTTCTACTTGTTAACTGTCTTATTATCCCACCCTCTCTATAAAAACACCCCTTCTGCTCAGCGTTCCTAGTAAAAATCATTTACTACCCACTATCTTTCATATGGCCATCCTTTGCATGCTTACAGTGTAAGAACTTTATTTCTAATTTTCTGACCCCACAGCACAGTGCTCATTTCAGAGTATGATGTCTCAGTCATGTACTATTTTCTGAATCTCCAGCAACTCTCTCTCTGAAGTCAGTATACACATTTCTCTAGATTCAACCAAATCCTCAAAGGCAGTACTAAACACCAGCTGCCAAAATTAATTTCATCCATCAATACCTTCCTGACTCCACCACCCATCCCACCCACTGTTTGGGTTCCCCTACTTTACACTCTGAACTACCATACTCAATCCGAGTTGATCTGTCCTATTCTCTTCTACAACAAGCTGTCCATACTTCAATCATAGTATATTTTGTTATGCTAGAGATATGGTTTGTCCACTAAATAATTCTCAAGTGCATCTTGCTTCTAGCTGCAGTGCTAAGCCTCAAGGAATATACAACTAAAGGCATGCTAAGGATCAGGGAGCTATGAGCGACATATAACTAATACTTTGGAAGGATGGAAGATGAGTGACTAATTCTGCCTGGAGAGAGTGGAAAGTGGCTTCTGGAAGAGTTGTCATTTGAACTGGATCTTTATGAAAAAGGAATCTGTTAGGCAGATGAGAAGGACTGGCAAGACATAAAGTGAAGGTACATTAATGGGGGAACAATGAAGAGTCCTGGTTGCTATAGGAAATGAGGGAGCTGTAGGGGAGAAGACTGAAAAGATAATTTGTGACAGTATGAGAGGCCTGTAGAAACCTGAAGAATTAAAATAGGCAGTGAAAACAAAGGTAAGCAGTAGTGAAAACTGGTCTTTACATTATAATCATACTCAGTGGTCTTCTTTTTTCATTTTAAAAAGACAAGCCCAGAATTATGCAGGTTTAGGATAGAAGTTACTGCTACCCGCTCTGTAAAATAACACTTTTCATCATCAAAGATCAAATCAGAGTAAGTTATAAATAACAAAAATATTAAGGGTAATTTCCTAAATTATTTAAAAATAGAAATAGAAATAAAAAATAGAAATAAGTATAATTTTAGTGTTTCATATTTCAAAAGTATATCTTTTAGACAAAATTTAAATCAGCAGCAGTTTTGTAACCAGCTACACCTAACACCATCCTTCCAGCCAGTTATACCTAACACTGTTCTTCTCTTTTTCTTTTTTAACAAAGAGGACATACAATTTTTAAAAAATGATTTCACTTACAACAACAAGAAAAAATAAATACCTAACAGTAAGTATAGTAAAAGGTAATACCATTTCTTCTAACCAGCTGTATCTAATTATGTATAGTTACCAATCTGGATGTTGGCGATAGATTCAGTCTGACGATCACAAAGTGGACTCACACCCAAGTGATACTTTTTTTCTATATCTCCTAGAAAATTTTTAAAATGAGAAAAAACTATTAATGTGGAACATACCTATTGGTTAAATCCATAATTAAAGTCTTCACGTTACCTGTAAGTTCCTTAGGAAAAACATAGCAAACTTAATCCTCATGAGAAGATAGTATCTAAGTAAAGTCTTAAAGTTTTAAGCTATTCACAAATCAAAGGTTGCCAACTTGATATCCTATTTAAAATGGAAGGAGAAAACCTTTACTCAGTGCAACCCTAAGACTAATTCTATCAGCATCTTAATTTATAAATTAGAGTTCTAAAAAGAAAGTATACATGAAATGAAGATCCTTGGTTCCTAGCTTTAAAACACACACACACACACACACACACACACACACACACACACACACACACACACACACACACAGTCTTACTAGGAGCCAAAAATCAACAGGGAAGGGACAATCTCTTCAATAAATAGTGTTGGGAAAAGTAGACACCACATGCAAAAGAACAAAACTGGTCCAGTATCTTACACTATACACAAATATTAACTCAAATTCAAAATGGATTAAATACTTGACCATAAGACCTGAAACTATGAAAGTTCAAAAAAAAAAAAAAAGGCAGTTAAGCTCCTTTTGTGGTTCTTGGTGATATTTTTGGATCGCACACCAAAAGCAAAGGCAACAAAAGCAAAAATAAACAAATGAGATTACATCAAACTAAAATGTATCTGCACAGCAAAGGAAATCATCAAGAGAAATGAAAGGGCAACCTACTAAATGGGAAAATATTTGCACACCATGTATCTTATGTTAGAGTCCCAAATATATAAAGAATTCATACAACTCAATAGCAATAGCAAAAGAAAAAAAAGTCTAATTAAAAAGTAGAGAATCTGAACAGTTTTCTGAAGACATACAGATGGCCAATAGGTGCATGAAAAGATGCTCCAATCACCAATCATCAGAGAGGGTATATTAAATCATCAGAGAGGGTATATTAAAACCATAATGAGGTAGCACCTCACACCTATTGGAACGATTTTTTTTTTTAAAGATTTATTTATTTATTTATTTATTTATACAAGCACTGGGTACAGGCAGAAGGATCAAAGTACACTGCTGAGGGGAGCAGTGGGCGGCAGGAGAGGTCTGCGCGCCATGTGGGACCCTCCCCGGTTGTGGGGGATCAAACCGGCGCTGCAGAGGCTGCCGGCAGCTTCGCAACCCAGCGCTCAACCGCTGCGCCACCGGGGAGGCCCTGGAATGATTTTTTTTTAAGATCTATTTATTTATGCATACAAGAATTGGGGTGTAGGCCAGAGGTGTGTGTGTGTGGAGGTGAGAGGATTCACCAGAGACAGAGTGGGGAACAGAACAGGCAGATTGCCTGAAACACACTGCCGAGGGGAGCAGCGGGCGAGCCAGGAGAGGTCTGCTGTGCCATTTGGGCAGCTCCCTGGCCAGGGATCGAACTGGCGCTGCAGTGGCTGTGGACAGCCCTATAGGCCGCGTCCCTGCGCCACCAGGGAGGCCCCTTGGAATGACTATTATTAAAGACGACCAATGTTGGTGAGGATGAGAAAAAAGGGAAACTTGTGCACTGCTTGCAGGACTGTAAATTATTGCAGCCTCTACAGGAAAACAATATGAAGAGTCCTCTTAAAGTGAAAAAATAAAAAGAACTACCATATGATCTAACAATTCTACTTCTGGGTATTTACCCAAAGAAAATGAAAAATTTCTAATTGCAAAAGACATATTGTAGCCCCATGTTTATAGCAGTGTTGTTTACAACAGACTATATATAGAAAGAACCTAGGGTCCATTGATGGGTGAATGGAATAAAAAACATGTACACACAAAAAGGGGCAGGGAGTGGGATTTATTAAGCCCCAAATAATAATAAATAAAAAACATTGCCATTTGTGACAACATGGATGGAACTCAATGGCATCACGGTAAGGGAAATAATCTAACAGAAAAGACAAATACTGTATTATCACTCTCTGTGGAATCTAAAACAACGACACAAACACAAAAACACATAGATAAAGAGAACAACTGATGGCTGCCAGAGGTAGGAGCTGAGAGGTGTGTGACTTGGATGAAGGTGGTCAAAAGATACAAACTTCCAGTTATAAGTCCTGGGGGTTTAACATATAACATAATGATAACAGTTAATAATATAGTAAGTTGCTAGTAGAATAAACCTTAAAAGTACTCGACACACAAAAATATTGTAACCACATGAGGTGACATACCAACAACACTTATTCTTATGATCATTTCATAATCTATCAATACAAGTATCAAATCACTTTGTTATACACATGGAGCTAATTTAATGTCAATTACAGCTCAATAAAAAATGTCTTACATATTAGTATGGCCATGCCATCCACATGTAACAAGGATGTGGTAAGGTCAGAATAATCTCTCTGTGACAGCAGAATCTCCTGCCTTTGTCTGTCTACACATAAATGCCTAGATGCATATGATCATTTCAAAAGATAATTGCTTATCATTAAAACAGATGCTCAGTTTGCACATTACGGTAACATGTATATCTTCTCTGAACTGTCACTGAAAATTAAGCATCTACTGGTAGGTTCCTACAAATGACTAAGTTCTTTTTATATGTGATAATAAAAAATGAACTGAACAGATGATCACTGAATACTGTAACTTGCCTTGATGGAAGAATTCCTCTGTTACCTTTTCACTCCACTGCTTGCTTAATTCCCAGGTCCGACATGGGTTACAAATATCAGCACATTTTAAAGCCATCTAGTAAACAACAGATTAAAATTGTTTTAAGGAAAAAAAGTAAGATCTTAATACACAGGGTTTACAAATACTCAAATAATGGGAGAAAGAACATCTTAAAAAGAGGAAGAAAATATTGCAACAGAAACTATTTGTCTTTTATATTAACTTTTTGATGCTACTAGATCTACCAATGGTATTTGTAGAAATGTTAATGAAGAGGTTGGAAGACTAACTGAATTATACATGTGTGATAATAGCAAAGAGCCAAGGTTAAATTAACCATAAAAGAATAACTTACTCAATTCTGTCCCTCATTTTTTTTGGTATGAGGACTTATTAAAATAAAATGCTGTTTGCGGACTGGTACCCTTGCAAAAACTGTTTTCTGTCAGAAATCTCAAGTATGAAAAACAGAAGAGCAATGGTGTTTTCCCAGGCTGTAGATTTGCCATTGATCACTTTCTGAGAGTGTTTAACTGATGGAAAGAAACTCCACAACTTTCCCTCAAGACTTAACTGCTTTGATAATTACAATAGAAAATTTCCTTTTTATATTAATTATCCTATGATTTACCCTAGAAGTACAATCGTCCAAGCTTCATTTTACCTGTAAAACCAAATGCCGATGCCTGGCATCTTCTAGATGTAAGTCACCTCTATCCAAATGGGTCCGAAACAATGACAGATACTCATTTTGACGACTAATGTCTGTGGCTAGTATCAAAGCACCTATCTGAGTCTCCATTTGTTGCCTGGAATTAGAGAAATAAAAAGAGAATATACGAGATTTTCAGTTAAATTGTTATGTCTTATTTTTTTTCTTCCACTTAATGCTCACAAGAGCCTTAAGATATTCTCATTGCTCAACTAAAAACTACTGAACTAAAACCAACAGTTTATAAGAAAATACCAATATACAAACATTCCCCCCAAAATGCTTTATTTTGCCAGTCAAGGAAGAATTATTTGCTTTTAGAAAATCATTGTAAGATCAATATGTTATCTTGCTGGTATCTGCAGTGTGTAAACGTTTCTGGTGCTTGAGATGTGAAAGGCAAATGTACAAATAGTCCATTCAACATTTGACTTCTTTAGACTCTAAGATACCTGATGAAATTCTACCAAACCAATAAAATTTAGATACAACTGTATTTTCAAGCTCAAATGCAGGAATCAGTTATCTGTAGGAATATCCAAATCTTCTGAAAATGTAAAGGTAACATTAACACAAATAATACTTTTTTTATCCTTTTAAAAATTCACTTAAATGTCAAATAACAAGATATAAACTTAAAAATAATTCCTTCCTTTTCGTTTCAATGAGCAATTGCAAACAAAATCTTTGTGTAATGGTCAGTAAAAAGCTGTGATGGAAAGGCTTACAATATTGAATATTTGGTAAAACAAATCCTAAACAAAGAAAACATAAAAGATTGCTATTATGTTACTACCTACATACAGTATTCTTTGTTTTTTGTAATTTGTGTTAAACCTGAGAATTCCACAGGGTTTATAATCAAATGCAAAACATGATAAAAAGACAACAGTGAAGCAAAAAACCATTTTAACCTGCCATAATTGAGAACAGGATAATTTATATATATGTATATATATATGTATATGCGTGTATACACACACATACAAACACAATATACTTTAAGCAATTTTTGTATTTGTACTACAGCAAGAAGCAATTTTACTTACCAGAAGTATTGGTAACTCCAAATGGTATCAATGAATAAAGATTTTAAAAAATAAAGTCCAGGAATTTCTTATGATCATTACACAAAACACTTAAGCTAAAAATCTGTTTTTTTATGAAAAAGGAAAAATAAAGACTAATAATGTTAAATACCCACACATAGCTTTATGCCTCACTGTTTTTTCAGATTTAGATGTTTTACATGTGCTTGCAGAGTTTTCTTAAGTGCATCTTCTCACAGTGAGGCATTATTAAAAGCTTTCTTTGTGGAGCAATGATGTGAGATTTTGTTAACCGCCATCACACTGGGCTTATTTTATTGACATCAAAGCTTTGTATTAAGCTTTCAACTAGTCTGCTTAACATGAAATTATTTATTCTAAAAAATTTGTATTTTTTATTCTTTCTATCCATTATTTTATCCTGTGACTTCAAGACTATGCTATTGGGAATATAAGGCATTCTTTTGACTCATCAATTTTGAACACTCCTTGAAACAGAAGTTAATGAATCTATTTATCATACAAAATATCTACTTTCTTGTTCACTTTATATACACCTAGAATATAAGGTTTAACTCAGCTGAGCATAAAGTGGAAATACATAATTTTTACTTATGTAAATAAGCAGTAAACTCAATGGAACAAATGCTAGAGCATTCAAATCATAAAAATTCACTAAAAAATTGCTGACTATACAACAGGTTTAAATTACTAAGCTCTCAATAGTGATTTGTGAAATATTTTATCCATTACATTGAACAAACATTGAAAATTGTAGGAGTCTCAATAACGTAACATAATTTGAAAAACTTTGTAAAATTGCTTTGTCAACTTCATTTCATAACCAATTAAATTTGCCTTAACCCCACCTACCTGCTTTCTAATGGCATATGTGAGAATAAACCAGATTCTCTCAATAATCCCACTGCAGATCTCCAGTGGTGATTTTCCAGTACTGAGGTATTCTACAAAAAAAGGGGGGCATTTCTGAGTTATTTTATGGTAAGTCTCTTTCTATATGCAAAGTAATATTTGTAAGTAATATTAATGTGGTTAAAACTTTAGCATTCATTGAGAATTTGTTAGTATCACTATTTTCATGCCTTTAAAACCTGAAACATTTTCTAGAATGAAATAATATTAAATTTTGATGATAAAATTGCACTAACCTTGTATAAAGTTGCCAAGTAATGGTTAGTTTTAATAAGGAAAGGTTGATTAACACCTGGATGGTCCAGATCATGAGTGGCAGCTGCAATTAAGCTCAGCAAGACATCCCAAGGAGTTACAGAATTGGCAAGCTAAAGTGTGACAAAAGAGTAATTACACATATATTTGAAATAAATTGTGTACCATTACAACATTTTTGAATTAGTCCCAGATGGTAGTGTCACAAGTCTCCTCCCACTCTGTGTTCTTCAGGCGACACCTCATTAATGCCACCAAATACCTGCCAGGTGCTGGGCTCGTGACAGCACTGGAGACAGAGTAATATCACAGTGCCTCTAGCTACATGGAGTTTACTTTACCATCTTGATTTCAAATGGCTTAATAACTGACAGCTAAAGCATAAACCATTCTCTTTGAGAAGTAATGACTTTAAAATAACAAACACAAATACAGGTTTGCATATTTTTATTACTATAGTCACTCCCAAACAGAGAAGATGTATGAGTTTGTAAAAATATTTTAACACAAGAACTATCCTCTTAACAGATTTTGAAGTATACAATACGGTAGAAGAAGTCCTATGACTGACTGAGGTGTATACTGGTCAATAATTTGGAGGCTGGATTTCAATTAGGATCACATGGATTCCTGCGGTCCTAACATTTAAGGAAGCAGCTAAGAAATTATGGAGAAGTCTACATCAAGTGTTTAAAAAAATTCTCTCCCAAGGATACATTCCAAATAATGTACACAAAATGTCAATCTTATAAATAGCAATCAATAAAAAATGCTCATTACCTGGCTAATATTTTCATTGATAAAATATAATCAATGAATAAATTCCCTGCTTTTTATACATTGTCTCTATTTTTGGGCAAACTTCTCCTCTTCTAAGGCCCAACTCCACTGACCGCCCCCTCTTCCCTTGTTTACTATCTCCAGCCCCTTTCTGGCAAATGACTGAGTTGTGTTCTACGGCACTCACATTTTCAACATAATACTTGGCAGAGGATACTTTCATTTAGGTTTACATTAGGGTGATGCTCTTGAAATTTTATGAGCCCTAGCAGTAAAAAATTTTTGAAATACAACCCACCAAATATAGGTATACTTACTTACAGATTATTATACTATACTAACAGATACCGCACATGATAAAATCCTTCAAAATGAATTTCTTTGAAATACTCATTTCAAAGATTAAAGCTGTAAATGCACCGACCTGGTGTGGCAATACTTCCAGAAACAGTGCACCCCCCTACCCCGCCCAGGAAAAAAAAATAGATTCAAATTTTAATGTTTTCCTTCTATGCCAAAATAGATCTTTTTCCACCCTCTATAGCAAGTTCATCTCAATCTGAAAACAAAAACAACACTGGGGCTTGAATCTGCTGGATAACAAACTGAGGACAGAAAATGTGTATTTTTGTATTACCTGTAACTGGAAGGTGGAGAAGCTCAATGAATGGGGAAAGATGAAGAGGAAAATTACTTCCTTTTTGTAATATACAAAAGCACTTAAGAAGTTAAGGACTTGAAAAGGACTTGTTACTAATCAATATGAACAAAACAGAGCATCCTGCATGTAAAAAAACCTCCCCTTCCTGATAGACAATTGAGAGGGCCTGATTACAAATATAGTATAAATGTGTAATTTATCAGTAATGTGAAAAGTGTTATATTTTAATAACTAAAAGAGAATATATGTTAGAAGAATAGACTTCTGTCAATCTGGGATTAAAAAAAAAAGATCTAGAATTAGACTAATCAAAGAAGTTAATGACATCAATCAACCAACTAGAGAGTTAAGCACTAAAAATAGAAGGGAGAAGGAACAACTAAATTTTTCAAAATACTCAAATCTCTATCTCTAATTCTAGTTTCTCTCTTACACTTTAGACATTTTTTATCCAGCTCTCTATGAGAGATCTCCACTTCAGTGTTGCACAAATATACTTAGTTCCACATATCCAAAATGGAAATCATCTACTGTACTTCCAATCTTACTTCCAAAACTTGCCCCTTTTTCTGCATTCCTTTTTTCAGGGAAGACTTCCATCTTCTACTCAACTGCCCAAACCAATCTCCATAGACTCCTCTCCTATTTTATTCCCCCAAATGCACTCAGTCACCTTTATTCTTTCATCCTAATTCCTAAGAGATCTTATAAACAATTCACTTATGTCCTTCCCCAGGGCTACATGCCTAGTTCAGACCATCATGTTCTTTTATGGAGCACTGCAAAAATTTTCAGACAGGTAAGGTACTTTTGTTTCTGATCTTGTCTGATTTCATTTTATACCATAGTCAGGGTAGTTTTATAAGGCTTCTTGCCTACCTCCATAGCTCCCTATTCTTACACTGAATCAGAATTATGCTGTCCCTGCCCTCATGAAGTTCATGCAGAGCTGAGTGTAAATACCAAATGTCTTAATACAGAATTGGAGCTTTTGTATGATCTGATACTTGCTTGGACTTTTCCAGCCTCTCTCTCAGCAATCACTCCAATTCTCCAGTTTCTGTACTTAGAAATATAGCCAGATTTAGAAACTTGATCCAGCTAAATCTTATTCTTCAGTTTTTGAATCAAATCACCAATGAAAAGTATTTGAAAATTAGTAAAAGGGATATTCTTAGGATTTTCACTTTCTATGAAAGTCAACATCTTACCTTAGGTTCTTTTAAGTAACAGTGCATGGCCTGAGTAACATCTGCAGCATGGACTGCATTGTGGTAAGGGTTTTGACTGTGGTAATCTTCTTGAATCATAACTGCATCAAATAAAAAAGACCACCAAATTTAATTATTAATGGGAAGAATGTAAAAGTACAAAAATTGTGATAATTGTGAGCTCTCCACTTACACTTTCATATGCCCATCATTTATTCAGAGATAATAAACCTTGTAATTCTAAAATATACACAAAGAATCAATACCATTTTGACTCCTAACTTGCTTGAAAATTTTTTTTTTTTCATTTTTTTTTTATTTGTTTGTTTGTTTGTTTGTTTTGTTTATGCAAGTACTGGGTACAGTCAGAAGCGCGGGAGGGTGAGAGAATTCACCAGAGCCAGAGCGGGGAGCAGAGCAGGCAGAAGGACCGAAGCACACTGCTGAGGGGAGCAGCGGGCGGCAGGAGAGGTCTGCGCGCCACGTGGGACCCTCCTCCGGTGGCCAGGGAGCAGCCGGGGATCGAACCGGCGCTGCAGAGGCCGTGGGCAGCTTCGCAACCCAGCGCTCAACCGCTGCGCCACCGGGGAGGCCCCTTAATGAGAAGGTATTCAAGTCAAAATTATGAAATTTTTTCTCTAATGTATTAAAGTTCTCTGATTCTTTTCAATTTATATAGTTTCTCAGTTTAATAAAAACAGTAAAATTCACTCAACAAATATTTATTGTGCCAGGTATTATTCTAGATACTAGAAATTCATTGAGGTCTTAAAGTACATCTCACTGGTGAATAGGAAAAAGCATTTGAGTTCTATATTTACTTTGGTTCCACCTTTTAAAATAGCCTTTTAAATACTCTTGTTAAAAGCTATTTTTATGTTTTATAGTGTATGTAATAGTACAGCAAAGCGGGCATACAATTTATAAAAGTTTCTTAAAAGTCCTAAGTAATAAATTTATCTTAGCTTGGTACTGAAGAGGTAAGAAAATATTGTCTTTTCCTTTAAAAATTTTAAGAAAGAATCTTTATACTGTAATTTTTTTAACATGTCATTATTTGTTGGAAAACTAAGCTTTTTCCTAGTAGAGCAATTATCAAGTATCACCCTGAACATTTAAATGTATTCAAAGTAATCTTTAAAAGATTCTTGTCAAGAGATTTCCATTATCAGAAAAGGAGGAGATCTAAAGTGCCCTGCATCTTCTTTTATAAGGCTTTGGCCTTCAAAGATGTACAAAAGGTAAGAAATTGTGTCATTTCCGTCAGAAAGCTGTGATCAGTGTAAAACACTAACTACAAAACCATTCCGATCTCTACCATGTCCTCCATCCATGCCTTTGAGCCTTTTTAGTTTTCTAGCCAAGAGGTGCAGCTCAACCCAATGTGTCTTGCTTGGGCTCCCAGGATGCAGTGAAAACAGGCCAACACTGGAAGCCCCCAGTTCTCTCTAGGAAACTGGTCATCACTCTTTGAACAAGCTAAGCTTGTAAAACTCAGTATTTATTTTAATTTGAGGCTATTAAGGTACCAAACTCCTCAGCATTCTTTTAATTTAACAGGAGACCATGTGGAGTGAGCCAGGTCAGGCTGGATGTTCCAGCTGAGATTCCAGACCAGGCTCACAAAGCCACCATTTACCTCGTCTGCTGTCAACTGCAGGTGCAAACTCAGTCAGACCAGAAGGGCATTCAACAGCTCCATGGCCTCACAACAGTCAAGCCAATGTGTGTCACCTTAAGCCACTAAATTTGGAGTGGTTTGTTTTGGTCATGGCTAAATGCTACAACTGATAATTTCTTTAACAAGTTCTTGTATAAATCTTATTAATGTTAAATGGTATAGAACCACTTACCTAAAAATCTACGAAGTTTCATCATATCTAAATGGAAGTATTCAATTAATCCGTGAAGACTAAATAAATGAAAGGTTAAACTTACTAGACTATTGCCTAAAAAGAAAAAAGAGGAGATATTAGGAAATACAAGCAACATTACATTGTGCTTCCACTATGCTTTGGAATATAAAACATATAGACTATTCATTTCTATATTTTTTCTATCTTAAATATATCTTCTTATTTTACCAGATATGAACTTTAAATATCACATCTTTTTTTCCATTCTAAGAAAAAACAATTTTTGGTTTCAGTTGTCCATAATGAAAGAACTAAAATAAACATTATTGAATACTGGTTTTTTTAATGGGTAGTAGAATCTTTGAAAATTGGTTCACAGTAGTTAATTCAACTCCACAAAGCATCTAAAAATACGGCTAACATCTGCTAACATCTGCTCTTCCACCATGCTTTAACGGAAAGGCCTGGCCCATAGCAAAGTGCCTTGGTTGCAACACTATTAATAGGAAATTATGCTTCTTGTTTTAATGTTAACTATTATTAATGATTTATTCTCCCCTCCCCACTACCAACTCTTAAATCCCCACATGATCCAGTAAACCCACTCCTAGGCATCTATCCTGAATTCATCCATTGTTTTTTGAGTTCTATGAGTGTTATTGTAATTGTTACTTTGAACTCCTCTTCAGGCATCATCCATAAGTTCTGCTGGATTGAGTCTTCTCTTGCTGATTTTCTGTACCTGCATTTGTGATGTTTTCCTGTCTCTTCTATTTTTAGTTTTTATGAATTGTAATAGGGGTAGACACTGCTGAACACTGCTGTCAGTGTTCAGACAATGATAACATAAACATGATTCTAGTATTCTCTAAAGAAACCCATTACTTTTACTAAAATATATGAAAGACCTATCCCCACATCAAAGAATTTATGTTTATATTTATGAAGGATAATAAAGATCTAGTGGGCTAAACGCATTATCTAAAACTGTCAGACACCCTCTCTTTGCAGCTACTGAAGTGATCAGAGAATGGTACCAGCAGAGGATAATAGCTGAAAAGAAACCAGGGCAGTGGGGCACCAATGGGTCTCCTCTAGTGAGCACCAGGGGTTCAAGCTTGCTACTGTGCTTCGGGTACCAGTGTGGTAGAGACCCATAAGGCGCTATAGCCCAGATATTTGGTCTAAGTTTTTCATGTAGTCTCGTATCACCTTCTAGCTCTAACCTATGTTTAAACAGCAGATAGAGCACTGGGTACTGACTGAAGTTGAAACAGGAGTTGTTCTCTTTTCTTTTTCAGTACAGAGTCTTATAATGGAGTATTTGTTCCTGTTAACAAGTGCTTAAACTCTGTTTATGGAAGTGTTCAATTTTTTGTCTTGGTTTTATCAGGTGTTTGGATACACCACCAGCCTGTAGCTCCAAGTAGTTGTCTTGTCTATGAGGAGACACAGCTAATCCACCCAGGTCCTCCCCATCCATTTGTGCACCAGCTGTTTTATACTGGTAGCCTCAGATCAGTAACTGTCACTCTGCACCCCAATTCCTGCAGCTGTCCAACAGAGTACCCTCTTGTCCTAGGCATTGACTCTGCGTCCCCTTATCCAGTGCAGTGCCAGGTCTCCAAAATCTCCAATATTGTCACCTCTGAGGCAACAACACAGGGGTGCTCTGTACAGCAGCTGTCCCTCCTCTAGTGAGTTGTGGTCCACTAGTATCACCGTCAACACAGTTCAATTAGTTTTCCCTACTCCTTTCTACTGGACAACTACTGTATATTGTAGTTGTCCATTTACTTTTCAGGGGCTGGCTTGGTTCTGCCTCAATTTAATAGTTGCTTATATGTGGAGCAAGCAAGCCTGTTGTCTTTACTCTGTCACTAGCCTGCCAGACTATGCTTAATTTTAAACATACAGGACTAAGAGGGGGGATCAAAGACTTCTTTGCGAACAAAACTCTGAAATGGACCACTTGCCTTTCCTAAACTTTCAGCAGCAGAAAATCTGATAGTTTCTGGCTGGGTGGGGGAATCACAAAAATAGGTAGAATTCTATCACTACGAATGCATGGTCAACACCACTGAGAAGTTGCATGTTTTTCTAGTAAATGGTTCTTTCACTTTTAAAAATGCCTGATTTCAACTTCTCTACTCCTCTCAAACTTTCCACACAGGCATTTCCCATTCACCCCCTCACATTCAACAGCATCAGGCTTCATAGAAAAATTACAAGTCCTAAGTTTCCTTTTTTTTTCAAAAGCCATCTCCTCACCCCTCCAAGGCCCATCAGCTATATCTACCACTGCCTACAAACACACCCTGAGAATCAAAATATTCTTCCTTCTCTCTCCTTATTGTCCTAATAAACACCAGCATCAGACATGCTCTAGATTCTCTTAAATGTGAAACAACCAGGAATCTCTGGATTCTCTTGTTCCCTCCAGTTATCACCCCTTTGTTTCCCCTACACAGCTAAGTTCTTGAATAAGCTGGCCTACGCAGAGGGGATTATCCTTTTCAGCTTCTACTCCTTTGTCACTGACAACTGGACACACCTCAAGTACAGGAATTAGATTTGGAAAAATTACTTTATAATGTCTAGTTTTCTCTTCCAAGGTATAACTCTCCATTTCTTACACTTTCTATTATACACCCATTTGCCATATTAACAATTAAGGACTATGTTTTAAAGGGCTATGTGTTCATAAACTGCTGTTAGTGTTCAGACAATGATAACATAAACATGATTCTAGTATTCTCTAAAGAAACCTATTACTTTTACTAAAATATATGAAAGACCTATCCCCACATCAAAGAATTTATGTTTATATTTATGAAGGATAATGAAGATCTAGTAGGCTAAACGCATTATCTAAAAAACTATCTTAACAACTGTCAACAGTAGTCCATAGCTAAGGAAAAAGTAAATTAATTGGGAGAATATTGCCATTAGCAACACTGGAAAGAATTTTTTAAGGGATTCTTAAAAAAAACAAAAAAGCCTAAAGTATCACCTTCTAACAAAAAGGGCGACAAATTTCAAATCTTTTATTTTTAAGAAACTAAAACTTAAAATGTTTATTACTGATAACTGCCTAGTGATACAAACATAAGCCCATGTGTTCCAGACCCATTTGTGAAAAAGAAAGTGATCTTTCTCTTATTACTATAACAACTGACTTTTTTCTAGGGCATATTCATAGATATTTCATAAGTATATTCAAGTTATTAAACGGTTCTCCCAAATTTATTTTCCAAACCTAATGAAACAAATTACCAATTTTCTGGTTCTAGGATAGTTTTAGGAAAGTTACACTCTAATTTTAAAATATTCTTTTCTGGAATCAGACTAATTACCTAAGAAATACATGAGATGTCCTCCACTAAGAACTAATCTATTACAGTGTACCCTTCCCATACTGAAACACTACAAATTAACATTACCAACTGACTATTTTAATATCAGTGAATAAGAACACAAGTCACTGAAACATTTCAAAACAAGTGATGTTTTGGTGAACAATTAAACAAGAAACATAAACAAATGAATGTATTTCTATATGGAAATGGAAACAAATACTTCACTGAAAAAGAAATTTGTTCCTGTAGAAAACCTACTCTTACAAAAACAGATCAAAAGATAGAGAGCTGCCAACAGTGTAGCACCCTTGATAGTTTACTTGAGATAACAACTAATGAATGTGATTCTAGACAGGAATTGGCAGGATTAGGCTCCACCATAACACAGGCCTGACAACAAGGGTCCTCACACACTAGGTAGCTTTGGAGTAACAAGTCATATCATGTTGGACCTCTCACATCAAACATCGAGTATATTCTACCAGACAACAACTACCTTCTTCCTTGCAGCAGAAAAGTTGGGGACCATCTTTGCATATATCACTGCCCTCTCTCCAATATCATTTGGGAAATTATCAAAGTGAGAAATACAGAAAGCACTAGATCAATAGGCAAGAAAGGAAAACTATATACTTGGGCATGATATATGTGTATTATCCAGAATTTATTTCAGGCTAAGCAGCTTGGAAAGTAAAGCAGTTCTAACTACATAATACAGGTTAAGGGACTTTCTTTTGCCCATTTGTTTCCCTGTATTATCTCTTCATTTACAGAAATCCCAAATTTTGGGCAGCTATAGTTAACTGCATATAAAACCATCTGTAAAATCAGAATTGGGTAGCTAACCACAATGGTTTCTTCTCTCCCACCATCAACCCTAAGTAACCATTCAGCCTTTTCCACAAATCCAGTTCAAGGAGTGATATCATCAAAGGGAAAGCAAAGTGCTGGATTAACTATGGAGATTGGCAGTTATTACTTCTGCCCATCCTATATACTGTCAACTCACTCCCCTTTCCTCACCAAGGCCCCTAACCAGAAGGATTTGTACTTAAAAAAATTTAAAAATACAATAAAAAAGATCAATTTCAGTGAATGACTAGTATACCAGTAGACTAATAATAGGCTGCAACTGTCAGAGTTTTTACATGGTAAAATTGTTTTATCTATATGGGTATCTTGAGATAATTACTAAAATTATAGTACTGTTGAGTTAGGAATAAGTTTTCTAGACCACGTGATATTTCACTACTTAACATTTTCAAAAAAAGCATAAGGCTAAAGTGAAGGGCAACTATGTAAAAGACTCTTGTGTGTGAACAGGTCAAAGTGAGGAACAGAACAGTCACCAACAGTGAAGGAGAGATGGAAGAAAAGTAGAAAGACAAAAAGGCAGGGAAGCAGGTGGAAGAGAAAAATTTCATTGCTTTCATAATTTGGACTATAATCTGTCCGATTTATTTTCTGTCAACAAATAGAAACAAATAGAAGGTGGTTATAAAGGTATTTTCACTATGCATGACCACCCTGCTTGGGGAAATAATGTACTAATATTAAACAGTTAAATCAACCTAGATTCTGAAGGTAGTTTTATTTTGCTTGTCTATTTTAATATTTTGCTTCCTTACAAAAGGAGATTTATTCCAAAGTATAGTTAGGAAAAAAAAGGCCATTTCAAAATAGAGCATATTTATTTCATTAAAATCATTTTTGAAGAGTCAAAACTGATTTCTTCTCAGTGTGCATTCCACTCTGCTTCATTAATATAAACACATGTACACAAAAGGGGCAAAGTCTAGTTGAACTACATGCACTTCCAAGAATTTTGCTAAAAAAATAATTTAAATAAAAATGATCTTCAAGGGGAATCCTGTTTTTGTTTCCAACAAACAAGTTTCTGTCCCAAAAGAGAATGAGGAGACATGAACCCTTACCCCCAAAACAAAGCAAAATTCGTGAGGGGATAAACAGATCAGAATTACCGATGGTATTTTTTTCAAGCCACTCTACATTGTTTAGATTGCAATAAGCCCTCCTAAGGAAGCTGTAAGCACTTCCACATCTCACCACAGAGAAGCAGTGCCAGAGGTAACCACTACTGATGATCATAATGTACCGTATTTCTCAAGTGTGCAAAGAAAGAAGAGCCTCAGAACCACAATGCTAGAAGGTAGGACTCCTGCCAAAAGGTCATTAGTCTAACATTGGTGGCTGGCAGAACTGAAATACATCAGAGGATGTCATTATAAATGGCATCATTCAAGGAAATCAAAAAGGAAAAATCAACTGCATAATGAGATAATAATGTTCATGTCAGGTTATTAGTAACAGTGACATTAATTTGTAATTGCCAAATGATGATTTTCTATACCTACAGATCGATCACTAAAAGAGGGATAAAATGATGCTCCCCCTGCCAGTAGAGGGCTCAGAAGTAAATGAAAACAACCCACCAATGGCCATATCATTAGCGCAGTAATCTAGAGAACATGTTAACTTGAGTTAAGTCAAATTCTTCACTTACCATTTGTTAGTCTATCAAATAGAAAGATATCAAAATTCCAATTTCCAACCTTTTCCAGCATACACTGAAATGAAAATCAAACATTCCTACTGTAATTTAACTTCAAAAACATTCTCTGTCGTTTATAGCTAGTTCATAGATTTGATGAAAATGGAAAGTGGATGAGTTAAGAATGCTAGTATCATTCCACTTTTAATAATGACCTTTCCAACTGGACCCAAAAAAATGTCCACAGGGAAAACTCCATTTAAAAAAACAAGTATTTTGTTTTTCCAATGATAATGAATGTACAGGTAAAGTTAGTATTTCAATTTATTTCTATCCTCTCATGAACTTTCAAGAATTCTAAAGTAACATCACTGAAGTGTGGTTTATAAATTGCATGATCTAGAAAATAGATTTTAAAAATCTAGTAAAAATAAGCTATAATAGTTTAATAACTATTATACTCCAAGTACTGTTAAAGGGTTATATTTACTCTTACTATTTACACAAATAACATCAAGGAAGCACTGTTTTCAATCTTCATTTTATATACATGAGGTAACAGGTAAGCAGACTGATTCTAGAACCTAGATATCTGACATCTATACTCTGTTAAAATATTACTTGTTTTTTTAAAAAAACATTACCAACTTACGAATATTTATATTCCTTAATATCTGTATAAACAACTAATGACCTTAAGACAAATAAGTAAAAACTAACTTAAAAAGTATTAGAATCCCAAGATTATTAAAAATCCTCATTTGGTTAAAAAAAAAAAAGCTTATTTTACTTCCACCTTTGTTAAGAAAATTCTTTTAAATTATACAAAGAAAATTATTTTCACAATCACCAGGTTCAATTAAAAAGTGCCCAAATTCTCCAACTATTCCATTGATGGCAAGAGACTATGAAAACATCTGAAAGTAAAGAAACTAATTTCCTGTGTTGGGTCTACCTTGACCCAGCTGGGTGAAACTCAAACATGTCCTTTATGCTCTTTTGACCAGTTTTCTAACTTACAGAATACAGAAATTAGATCAGATAACCCACCACGTTCTTCTCAGGGTTAAGATTCTTATGGATTAATGTTCTGTTGTTACCTAATGTTGTTACTTAATGTTATAACAAATGAAAATGTTTTCATTATTTCAGCTACTACAGAAATTTCTCTTATTCTATAATACCTACTTATAAAATAAACACAAAAGAAAAAATATAAAAAAAGTCTTAACTGACTTTCATGTATAAAAATAGTTTCTATAAGTACCATACAAGGGAAGAAGGCTTCATTCAACTTATTAAAAAAGCGTATTTTCTTTAAAAAAATTATACACACCTTGGCTTGTCCGTTATAATCATCATCTAAAATGTTTAGAGAATTTGAAACAGTAGTACCACGAAAAAATCGTGAAGATCTAAGATAGCGCTGGAAACTTAGTAATCTTCTGATATTCCTTGCAGATACAGAAACTTCAATTTCAGATTGAGCTGAAAGAAAAGGAGTTACAAGTGAGGATAGCAAATCAAAACTGCGCATATATATGTAATATTTAATAATTATAACACATTTCAAGGAGAGAAGAGGGACTTTATATTTTCAATAAAGAAGCTAAGAATGAAGGGGTAAGTTTTGACAGCACTCAGAAAGCTAATGAGTAATGTGGCTGGCTGAATAATCTTTCTTTAACTGCCAAAAATTATCACCTCTTACTCCGTAACTTCAAGACACTGCGTAAATATTATGGAGCAGAAGGATAAAATCTAGTTTCAAATCTACCTTTCATAATGAGATGCCAAATTCCAACTTACATATGAGACTTTAACAGTTACAAAAATTCTAATGAGGTACCATTTCAAATATTTTCTTAACATATTTTATTTAGAGAAAAAGGAAATGGAATGCAGAATAAGTAGTTTATAGTCTGTAAGAGTTCTAAAATCTAGGGATAAAAATTGTATGCGATGAAAAACTCTAGAAAAGATGTGGTTCCACACTGGAGACTGCTATGTTCTCTTGTAGTAAGTCTAAGATAGGCATTCCTCTCCCCCACCCCCAGCGTTAGAATATGCCAAAGTTTTTCTGAGCAACAGATAAAGTAATAGCCATGGGTTAAAAGGTACCTTGTAGGAAAAGTATGTTACCATTTAATTCAAGAACCAAACTAAACTCAGCAAAATATTCATAATATAAAACATGAAAATGAAGACTAAGGATCAACAATTTATCTCTCAGTTTAACTTACATTAACAAAATCACCGAGTGAATGGCCTGTAATCACATATAATCTTTCGCGTGGCCAGTCACTAATTCCTCTATTAACTTCTACTATACTGTGTTTTCTTACCTATTTAAAAAATGGCAATAAATATCTAATTCAAAGAGTACTGGACTAAATGAGATAATAGATGATTCAGATATATAGTAGTTATTAATAAAAAGCTGCAATGTAAATTGATGTTGATGCCCCCAATTGTTCCAGGTAATTATCCTGAGCTCCAAATCTGATTATACTGCTCTAAGTAAAAGTTCATTGGCACCTCATTATCTTAAAGTGAACTCCGTCTCCTTATCCTGGAGCAAAAGACTTCATGTTCAGATTCTGGCTCTCTCTAGACTTGACTCAGGTGCCACCTTTCCTAAGAATCACATCTATAACCACATTCCCCTTAAAGAGAAGCACCTCCTCTAGGCTGTCAAAGCTCCCAACAGAGACAGTTATCAGGCTACTGCTGATATGGTCTTATATTTATGTGTCTCAACATGCAGTGACCTCCAATGTAGGCACAAAATATATTTTTCATTTCTGTATCTCAAAGCCTCGTAGTAGTACCAGCTAGGTAGGTGCAAAATATATTGAGTAGATGCAAACTGTTTTTGAAGTATCTGATGAGTTTTGAGGTTCCCATGTATACACGTAAGCCAGAAGTAAAATAATGCACACAGGTATGTGGTTTACTTCCCTGTTTTTCACTCTATTCAGTGTAAAATAGAAAGTACCTAAAACAATTATGGATTGAAATGCCTGATTTTTTTTTAATAATAAATTTTATTTCTATATTCCCCATACAATTTCAACCCCTCCATTCTGACCCCAATCCCACCCCTCCCTCCCCCACCCCACAAAAAGTGTCTCTGGTTCATAATTTTTGTTGATTTTCACTTTCTTATAGTTATTCAATTTCCTGGTCCCTTATTTAAGTTTTCTAGATTCCTGCTATGAGTGAGACCATCCGGTATTTTTCTTTTTCTTTCTGGCTTATTTCCCTGAGCATGATCCCTTCCAGCGCCATCCATGTTGCTGCAAATTGCATGTGTTTATCTTTTTTAAATGCTGAGTAATATTCCATGGTATATATGTACCACATCTTCTTGATCCAGTCATCTATTTTTGGGCATCTGGGCTGTTTCCAAAGCTTAGTTATTGTAAATAGTGCTGCTATAAACATAGGGGTGCAGGTGCTCTTTGGAATTGATGTTTCTGTGTCCTTTGGGTAAATACCTAGGAGTGGAATTGCTGGATCATATGGAAGCTCTATGTTTAGTAGGTCCAGAAATCTCCACACAGCTCTCCATAGTGGTTGGACCAGTTTGCACTCCCACCAACAGTGCAGGAGAGTTCCTTTTTCTCCACACCCTCGCCAACATTTGTTGTTGCTAGTTTTTTTAATATGTGCCATTCTCACTGGTGTAAGATGGTATCTCATGGTAGTTTTGATTTGCATTTCCCTGATGACAAGTGATGTTGAACATTTTTTCATATGCCTGTTGGCCATTTGCATTTCTTCTTCAGAGAAGTTTCTTTTTAGCTCTTCTGCCCATTTTTGGACTGGATTATTTTCTTTGTTGTTGTTGAGTCTCATCAGCTCTTTGCAGATTTTTGTGATCAGTCCTTTATCATTAGTGTTGTGTGCAAAAATGTTCTCCCAGTCGGTGGGGTTTCTCTTTGTTTTTGTTATTGTCTCTTTTGCTGTGCAGAAGCTCTTTAATTTGATGTAGTCCCAGCTGTTTATCTTTGCCTTCACTATCACTGCTTTGGGTGATGTGTCTGTAAAGATGTCTTTGACGTGCAAATCACGTAGCGTTTCGCCTACATTTCCTTCTATGTATTTTATGGTTTCAGGTCTTATGTCTAGTTCTTTAATCCATTTTGAGTTGATTTTTGTGTATGGTGTGAGGTAGTGGTCAAGCTTCATTCTTTTGCATGTAGCGACCCAGTTTTCCCAGCACCATTTACTGAACAAACTTTCTTTGCTCCAATGCACAGTCTTTGCTCCTTTGTCAAAGATTAGTTGATCATAAATCTGTGGGTTTATTTCTGGATTTTCTATTCGATTCCATTGGTCTGTATGTCTGTTCTTGTTCCAATACCATGCAGTTTTGATGATTATGGCTTTGTAGTATAGTTTGAAGTCTGGGAGTGTGATGCCTCCATTCCCTTCTTTTTTTTTCAGGAGAGCTTTGGCTATTCGAGGTTTTTTGTGATGAAATGCCTGATTTTTATCAAAGCGTTTTACTTTAAAAGGGCTAGATCCATAAGGGTAAGCTACTCAAATCAAGTGATTACATTTGAACTACAGTAAGCTGTGGAAATGAAGGTAGACTAAGTTCTGCGAAAGCAATGTTGCAAGTGCTTTGCAAAAAGTATTTCAGTTAGCCTTTAACTGTCTCACAAGATAAATATTACCCTCTACTTTATGTAAGCAAACACTAAATCTACAAAAAATAATTTGCCCAAAATCATACAGTCAATATAGGGTGACAACTGGCATTTAAAATATAGATCTGTTTGCAAAGCTTGTATGCACAGTATTACTCATAAGCTTTTAAAACTGTACACCTACATTATTACTTACCCTTAATAATAAAAATTCCATGCACACTATTATTCAAAATGTCCTTCCTTAGATGAAAATATGTACAAAAGAAACAGAAGGAAAAAAAGCAAATGCACAGACATATTAACTACTTAATTTGACTCCTTTTGTCTTATTTCTAGGAAAGAGTGGACCCAGAAGAGATGTAATAGAATGGCATGAATATATGGGAAACAGATGAGAATTAGTTAATACAGCATTAATACTACCATCTCTGTATTTATAAGGTATTTCAAAGTTTTACAAAAGCACACTCACACCTGCTAGCCATTAGTAATGCAATCCTGTGAAGAAAACAGTTTATAATTTTTTGTCCTATTTACTTTTTAATTGCAGTAGCATTATGATTCTGTCCATCAGGTATCACCCACCAAGAAATCACCCATAGTCAATCACCATTATTTTCCTTCTCTCTTATTTCCTACCCCACCCTTACCCCTTCCCCTCTTTGGATGCTTCAGTTCTTTAGTCAGTTTTCAAAGGCTAGCCTTTAAGGTTGTCTTTCTCTAGTTCTTGGGTTTGATTTCTTAAACCCCATGGATCAGACATGAGACCCAGCAATTACACTTCTTGGTATCTGCCCAAAGAAGACAAAAATGCTAATTCAAAAGGAAACATGAATTCCCATGCTCACTGTAGCACTGTTCACAATAGCCAGGATATGGACACAATCTATATGCCCCCAAACAGATGAACCAGTTATGAAGATGTAGCATGCATGAGCACACACACATAAATACAAATGCAATGGAATACTACTCAGCAATCAAAAGGGATAAACTCATGTCATCTGTAGCAACATGGATGGAGCTGAAAGAGGTAATGCTAAGTGAAATAAGTCAGGAGAAAAACACTCGATAGTGTTTTTAATGTTACAGTGTTTTTAATGTCACAATTAAGTGCAATACAGAGAAATGAAATCAAGAATCAAAGAACTTTATCATTTTCATTTTTAAAAATGTCACTATAAAACCCAAAGTAGAAATAGTAAAATTAATGCATTAGAGTCAAAACCTTTGAAAAAGGTTGCATAATATACTTATTCCTTTCACCTTGGAAAAGTAACCTAAGCATTCAATGTCATGAACATGACTTTATGAGCATTCCGTTCATTATCTTAAATTACAGAAAAAAATTAATTTTATCTCTGGCAATAACATCTGTGTGTGTGTGTGTGTGTGTATACATATCCACACACTAACAGTAGGATCACTGCTTTCAAATTAAATGTCCAAACTAACACTCTTACTCTTAAAAATAAATCTGAGAATTTTCTGGAGAGAGCAATTGCATAAGCCCACCCCTCCAAACCCCGCAATGAACGTGTCTCCTTTAAGGAGAAAACGCCAATAACACAGTCCTAAGCTATATTCTGATACCAACATGGCAGGATTCACACTCAAAGATTAAGAGAGCTGGGTAGTGTCTGGGAGATAGTGGTTGTACCTTTCTCCAGCTTAACTCCTATTTTCTGGAGGAGTATTGACAAGTTATCATTCTTGATGTCTTTTTTTTTTTTTTCATTTGTGATGTCTTATTTCCCTTAAATGAAAATAACTACTTTTAAAATCCTATAACCTCTTCCCTGAGATCTTGAATTTGTGCTCTACAGT